TTTTCGTGTTCCTGTTCATTGCCATTAGATTGCTATAAATTTAACTGTGAAATAAATGTTTGATTTTCAATAACTACTTTAGGTAAATTTTTAAGGAAGTGGATTTAAGAGACTACTGTGATATGATGTAAACTAGATCATCAATTAGGTAATGAGCATGAATGAAGATGTGAAGTTTTTCTTCTGGAGGATACACTCATTTGCATATCCTTGGTGGTGCATCTTATAGCCTGGCACGTGGGTATGTTTTCATGTTGTGAAGGACAAGGATGCAAATAGAAAGAAAGGAGTAGACTTCTTTAAGATACTAGTATTCTTATTTTCTAGTTCTCTATTAAAATTCCTTATCAAAGAATGAATGAAGGCTGAGAACTGGAGAGAGAGAAGTAGCCCTCCAGGATTCTGGAGAATAATTTTTCTTTTATAAATTATGTTTGGTTTCTTTAAGTAAACATCAAAAATGTTTTTGGTCGCTGTGCATTACAAAATTAGGAATATTATACAATTATGTTAGTGTAACATGTTTTTCCTAGAATAAGCTTATTATTAGAAAACCATCTAAATGAAATATATTTTAACTCTATATTTTATAGTGTTTGCTAAGTTTACATGGAATAATCCTTTCATTCACGATGAGTTGGTATTTCTTCAGTGCATCTGAGGCTGTATGTTTGTGTCAAATTCTTTTCTTAATCTAATTTATTATTTATATGTGTAGCGGCTTTTCGTTGGCTGGTATACAAATTCATTAGAACATCCGTAATACTTTTAGTTCTGTGACCACAGCTCTGATATTAAGTGAAATGTTTGCTTTCAGACAAGTTATGATAGCCATAGTAAATGGAACATGCCTGAACTATTATATTTGTTTGTATTGTACTTGTTTTGCATTCTATCCCAGAAAACTAAGATTATAAAATACTCTATTAGGAAAAGTTATAACATGAATAGGTTCCAAAAACTTGTAATTGGATATACAAAATAATATTCTCTTGCACATTATTGTATGAAGTGTTATATTTCTGGTATATTGCACATGAACCTTTCATATTTTCCTTAAAGAATAGTCTAAGTTAAAAACACTTTAGAATTAAAGAAGGAAATTTTCAATGCTCTATAGCATAGAAAACAGAGAGGCATAAAAAATCAAAATAAGTAAACAATTTGTGCCTTAACTTTTAAACTAATGTATAAAATAGCAAATATATGTATTCATTTTATTGTTTGTATATTGACCTTTATGTGGCTTATATGTAGTAGTATTATATGATTAGGCCTGAATTTCAGAAATTATATTTCACAGACATCTTTCAAATTTTAAGTTAAAAATTGTCATGGAAACGAAGAGTATTGTATGTTGAGTCCAAAAACCTGGGTTCATTAGAACTTTCTGAGCTTAAGTTTCCTCTCGCGGGTTATTAATTACTTCACAGTATTGAAGATTAAAAAAATGATTTGAAATATTTACAATTCTACAAATGTAAATAATAACCTTCTATTAGTTAAAACTCGCTACATAAGCTTACACATTTACTTTACTTATGCAATTACTTATATGCTTGCTTTATATTTATCATACACAAGTTGGGAGCTCCTCAACAGATACATAAGATTCTTCTTACCTATCAGTTTGTATATAAATGAAATGAATATGAAACACACTATTTTCAAATTTCAACTAGCAATATCATTTAACAATTGGACAAATAACTAAAAGGAAATTGCTTTCCTCACTGCTTGATAGTGAACTTGATAGAAATCTTTTCCAATGCTTTCTTGACCTTGAAAATCACTTACATTCTTTTATATGTAAATTATTTTTTATAATTTTTAAATATGCTTTATTTGTCAAAATACAAGTTAATAATCTTAAGCTTTTAAATTTTTCCTAAAAAAGATATCACAAATAAAAAAGTAAAAAAGGCCTTACTTTTGGTGTTTATTGTGCATATTCATATTTATGAGAATACATGTCATAAATAGTCTACTTCCATTTTATAGTTATGATTTTTGAATTTTCATTTAGTCAAATAAAAATTAATAGAAAATAGGAAACTACCGTAATTTTATATTTTTCATTAATAATAGGAATTTGGCATAATAACTCAGTAAATTATTCAAAGAATATAATTGTAAAATAATATCATATAATGGGTCAAAATTATTTATATAGTTACCAGTAGTATAAGGATTAAGCATGTGGGTTCTTATTAATATACCATTAGCCTGGTCACACAATAAAAGAGAATGAAAAGGCAATTATGAATGACATTTCTATCAACTTTGGAACTGTCAACCTCTATTATGTCCTTGGGGCTTTGCACTTTTTGACTTTCAGACATCTGTGATGCCTTGAATGGAGGAGAATATTCAGAGTTCCAGTGGGTCTCCGCTTTGGGTAGCCATTTTTCAGTATGTGCATATAATAGTTCTTAGTGCTTAAAGATAAGCCAGTGACATTTCACCCCATCAGCACCCACATCTGCATCATCTTCATTAACACCACCATTTCCCCTCTACGTACCCTCATATTCTGTTTCCTCTGTGCTCATAAATCTCTGTTGTATCTCTGGGAATATATTTCTTCTGCTCTTTTTTTTCTACACAGTCAAGTGAAACAGCCACCTTTAATTTCTCCAAGTATCCCCTGAAAACTTTTGGAAGAGTTGTGATGCTGTCAGAGGAAGTTTTCAGGTTGTCATGACAAAAGCCAGAAGTTTCACACAGAAGGTAGTAAGCAGATAGAACATTTGATGGGAGAAAAATGCTTAGAATATACACAGCTGCTTAGTAAACAGTCAGTGAAGCTCCTGTCTGAAGGATATTTTGGCTAAATAACAGGGATAAAAATCTAGATTCTAATCCTTATTGACTCACTCAATCTCAGTAGTGTTTAGTTTATCGTGCATATGCATGTTTTGGTGTATTTTGTCGTGTATTATTATTAGCATATGGTATATTCCAACAAAATTTTAAAGGTTGAAATAATATTACACTTCCTTAATGTCACCTCCTTATATTGTGGAAATTTTCATAAAAGTTTTCAAAACCTAATAAATATTTTTAAATAATCTTTCTTTATATTATGTAAGGCAGTGTCCCTCAAACATTAGTGTGCATCGGAATCACCTGGGAATGCTTGTTAAAACACAGACTGCTGGAACCCACCTCCAAAGTCTCCATGATAAGAGAATTTGCCTTTTTAACAAGTTCCCAGGTGGTGCTGATGGTACTAGTCCAAGGACCTCATTTTGAGAATTAGCCATCCATATTAGAGTATAGGACAAAAGGGACACAATACTCTTGGGTTTCTGCCAACCATAGCATCATATAAAAGGATTATGGCTGACTAGCTCAACTAAATGTTCAAATTGAAAGAGCTAGGGATGATTTTGTCCCCTGTACTTTTTAAAATGCTAAAGTAAACTTTTCAAAATTATATACTGAGCCAGTCATGAAATTATCTTATTTAACTTCCTTCCAAGATTCTATGAATCCATATAAATGTAGTATAATGGTCTTAATTTATTATGCATCTAACATGATCTCAGATTGCCATTTGAATTATCTCATGGATTTTAAATAACTGTTCTTTTCTCTGAATCAGAAAATAGAATTGAAAAAAAAAAATTGTTAAAGAGTAATTTTCCCTAGCCTGTTCGTAAGTTTCCTAAGTGCAGTTAACCATAGAATCTAATAGCAGTAAACCATTTTTAAAGATATAAACTTGAAATAGATGCCATATTATACCATTTTATCATTTTTATAGAGTGATTTATTTCAATGGTTTTGGTAAAAATATACATGAAATTTTGTACATATTAATTAACACTTCCATGTCACCAGATTACACCACTTGATTCTAAACTGTTTCACAAGTTATCCTGCTACTGCCGGTATATTTTTTAACGAAAATAAGAGTAGCTAAATAGAAACTATTTTTCTACAATAATACCTGTGTAAAATTGGATATAATGTAAACAATAAAGTACAAACATGTCACAATATTGCAATTTTTAGAGCACAGGAAAGGAATGACTTTCTCAATTTGCAACAAAAGTGATACAATGTCAATATTATTTGATTCCTATATATTATGATAAACATTTGAGTGATGATTATATCCATAAATTGTATGTATGAAATTACATAAGGCTAATATAGATAGGTATAGTTTTATACCTACCTATATTAACTATATAGGTATAATGTAAACTATGTAAACTTGACCTATTCAAGCATAGAACATTTGGAAAGCACCATACCTGATGAACTGACCACATATAGATCTTTATATCACCATGTAGTGCACTAAAAAAAAAATCTGGAAGACAAATTGGGATTTAAAAAATGTAATGTTAAGTATGTAGGACAGTGTTACATATGAATAAACAGTGCATATTAGGGTAATGTTTATTATGTTTATTTTTAGATCAAATCCAAAAGTGTTGTGAAACCTAAGAAAAAGAGATTATTTTCTAAGAAAGTTTTTTTTTCAGTTAGAAAGTTTTCTTTTCTTTTTTGTATTTAATTTGGAGAGCAGTTCTGATCAGAGATACACACCATTTAACTTCTCCATCATGGATGTTCCAGGTACTCTACCTAAGCGCCAGGATACAAAGATGCTTGAGACTCAACCCCTGTTCTTCAAAGTTTGGGAAAAAACCTATCTACATCAGAATTTTATATGAACTATGCATTGTCTCTCAATATAAATGAATAGTACAAGTAATATCTCTTTAAGAATATTTCTTACAGGCAACATTACTCATGTGCTTTCTGGATAGTGTATTTTATCTTATACAAAAGGTTTTTCATAATACATAGTTGAAAGTGACATTGTTGACAACTGACCAAATACTGTAATGTTAACATTGAATGTTAAGATCACTGATGGTAGAATAATTTGATGGGAAATGACAAGCAGTATACCTGTGTTTTTCTAGACATTTTTAATCAGCCTTTCCTTATCACAGCTCATGTTCTAATAATCATTGCAGGATGAAGTGGCACAGCCACTGAACCTATCAGCTAAACCCAAGACCTCTGATGGCAAATCACCCACATCACCCACCTCTCCCCATATGCCAGCTCTGAGAATAAACAGTGGGGCAGGCCCCCTCAAAGCCTCTGTCCCAGCAGCATTAGCTAGTCCTTCAGCCAGAGTTAGCACAATAGGTAAGTTCTTTTTCTTTTGTTCTTGCTGATTTTCTGTTTATGGCAATTGAATGAAATTATCTTTTAATGGCAAATCAAGCATACCCTGTGCATGGCTTTAGTTTCATAGGAAAGTTCCAATTTGATAAACCTGAAGTCCAAGTTATACTGTCCCCCTGAAAATCTAACTGAACTGGTTATGTTTGTTGATGTAATATATGTTCTTAAGTG